AAGAAAGAAAGAAAGAAAGAAAGAAAGAAAGAAAGAAAGAAAGAAAGCAAGAAAGAAAGAAAAGTGAAACATGTAAACTTCCGAAAATTCCACACAGGCTGGGGAGATGGCTCAGCCTTGAAAAGCACGGGCTGCTCCTCCATGGTTCTCACAGACACCTGTAACTTCAGTCCCAATGGGTGCAAGACCCTTTTCTGATGTATAGACACCCTCTATGTGGTGTATAAACATACATGAAGACAAAACGTCCATATTTTTAAATTAATTAAAAATCCACCCACTCAGACTGGAGCGATGGTGAACCAGTTAGGAGCACTCATGGTTCTTGCCGAGGACCCAGGTTCAGTTTCCAGCATTCATCTGGTGACTCACCATCTGTAGCTCTAGTCCCAGGGGCTCCCACACCCTCTTCCAGCTTCCTTGGACACCAGGCACATGTATGGTACACAGATGTATTCAGGTAAAACACTTATTCACATAAAATAAAAATAGGGGCTAGAAAAATAGCTCAGCAGTTAATGAGCCCTGGCTGCTCTTCCAGAGGACCCAGGTTCAATTCCCAGCACCCACATGGCAGCTCACAACTGTCTATAACTCCAGCTCCGGGGCTGGCACAGACATACATGCAGGCAAAACACCAATGCACATAAAATAAAAATAAATTATAAAATAAAAATAAATATTTTTTTAAATATCAACCATCTTAAGTCCAGAATTAGCTAGCTCAGCCTCTAAAGATGTTGGGGCTCTTACCTAACTACTGGGCAGTTCTCTCAGATGCTTGCTCATGACCACAATATGACTATTGCTACCCCAAGTACAGCATTACCACATGACTGCCCAAAAGCCAAAAGGGCATTTCCTTTCCCGTGATTCTTGTAGGGTGGACACTAGTCTTGTAGTGTTTGCAGACTTGCTTTGCATCTCATTCTCTAAAGTTGGGTTTCATGTCTGTTCCCTGTTGGCAAAGAAAACTGGAACATACCTCAATATTCTTTCTGACTCATGGGAGCCTGACTTTGCCAAGACAATGGTGGTGAATCATGGGTGGCTTACCTGTGCAGAGTAAGAAATATCTCAAAATCTATCTCCTCCCTGCCCACAGGTCGGAGGGACCTTGGCCCCTAAACCCCCCACAAACCAGTATACATCCAGTAAACAAGAATGGCGAACCTGAGACCAGAGGAACCAGAGAAGAGGACGCCGCTCCAGGGGGAGCCCAGCAGTCAGACGCCTGCTTAGGGAGCAGAGACACGGATGAAGGTCAGTCCCCAAGTGCCCAGCCTGCTGCCAGGCCCATGGTCAGTGAGGTCATGCCTCATCCCTGCTCTCAAGGGCCGAAGCATCCACGCCACTGTCAGACTCCAGACAAACCCCACCCTGCCACTCAGACTGGTTTCCAGTCCCCTGAAAGGTTCATCTTCTGGTCTTCCCAAGAACCCGACACTTGGGAATCTAGCATGCCGAGGACTGGGTCTCTGTCCTTTACACCCGGGCTCAGAGCCCTGCCACCTACCCTGCCTTCAGCACCATGACAATGCAGATGAGTGACGGGGGAGGAATCAAGGGAGGGACATATGCTGTCAATATTAGGAACATTGTCATGACAGTGGAGCCCTAAGAACCCATGGGGAAAACAGGTAGGGAAATAGGTGTCCAGAGCCAGGAATCCCTGATGTCTGAGTCAAAAGGCTTCCCAGGTCTCCCATGAGCTAAGGTCTCATTTTGGTTTTAAATACTACTTCAACTAGGGAAGTCTGAAAGTGTCCCGTCAGTCAGCACAAACTACTCCGACTAAAAGGAAAGTATGGGATCTCAGAAGAGCCCATAGATTTGAAGCCACCTCTAAGGCCTGGCCTGCTCCCCTTACCCTGATGTCAGTCACACTCAGAAGGCATAACTTCCCTGGCTCAGCCCATATCCTAGCCCCCAAGTGCAACATGAGGAGGGCCTGTTTGTTTGTGTTTCTTTTCTGCCCAGTCCCCCCAGCTGTTTAGCCCCAAAAAAAAATAACACAGAGGACTCTTTAAGTTATAAAGCTGATTGGCCCATTAGGTCAGGCTACTTATTAGCTTATTAGCTAACTCTCTCATCTTGATTAACCATTTTTCTGATCAATGTTAGCACTGTGGCTCAGTACCTTTTTCAGCGGGGCAGATCACATCTTGCTGCTTCGATGATCTGGGCAGGAGTAGGAGGAATCAACTTCCTCCTCCCCAGAATTCTCCTGCTCTCCTTGCATCATTTCCACTTCCTGTCTGGTTTTCCCACCTATACCTCCTGCCTGGCCAATCAGCCTTTATTTAAAACATGATTGACAGAATACAGACAATTCCCCCGCACCACCCAAGCATAGAACTGGAAGATCAGCCCTCATCTGAGTTCATTTTGGCCATACACTCACTGACTCCCACATTGTCTTCTGAGGGGTCCCAGCTCTTCCAGAACCTTTACTGTGGCTAGAGAGGACTGCCTCTGACTGGCACAGCCTGACGGGTACCCAGAACTGGCATAGACAAGGGTCAGGGTCTCTAGGGGACTTTGGTATGCTCCTGGGGACAACAGCTTTGCCTGGGCTATAGGACAGAGCCGCTGTCACCATCCACTTCAGTCAAGATGGAGTTCATCAAAGCTGTTGGGGACCACAGGCCGCATATTGGACACCTCTTCTCCCACAACCCCCCAAACTGAGAGCTGAGAGTCTTTCTGGCCTGATGCTAACATCCCACAAAACCCTTATCCAGTTCCCTAATCCAGGTCACATGTCCTGAAATGGAACTGAGGCTCAATCCTGACACGACAGATGCACCCTCACGTGTCGCCTGAGGAAACAGAAGATGTCAGGGCTGTATCTCAGGGATTCACATGCAGTCTCCCAGGGCCCTGGGCCAGGAACGGGAAGGGGACAGTGCCACCCGTGCCTCACGTCATACATGTTCCTGGGGAGGGCTGGATGGTCCTCACAGAGGATGTGTCTCCCCAGCAGAGGATGAGCAGCTGTTCCGCTCTGTGGAAGGCCAGGCCGCCTCTGAGGATGAAGAAGAAAGGTGGCGAGAACAGTCCAGGCCCCCACAGGCCCATGCTGAGGTATCTGTGGTGCAGCCCTCAGGCTGTGTGAGCAGGTAAGTGGCTGGATAGCTCTGACCTGGCAGTGAAGACTAAGAGCACAGACCCACGCACCACCACCACCACCACCACCACCACCACCACCACCACCCCGCGCCCAGAAGGCAGCTTCGCCTTGCAGGGCCCTTCACACAGCTTCAACATGAGATGCTGACAGTTGTAGAGTACAGACATCCTTGGCCCCTCCTGGGAGTGTAGCTCAAAAGTGGGAAAATTGTCCCCCCAAGTGCAAGGGTGAAATGAGAAGACCGTGGAGAGCCTAGCCTGTGGGTGGATTTAGTCCCCACCAGCCATGACTCCCTGGATCCCCGACCCAGGACCTCTTCTATTCCTGTCACTCTGCAGGTTTCCGTCACTTCCTACAACACAGTTCAAAGCCCTCCTCCCTCCCCAGCCTGGCTCTGAGCTGCTTTCTCAGCTACCCACAGGTGTTGCCCTTGTACCATCTTAGAGGACGATAAAAATGAGCTCAGTGACCATGGGTAATTCAAAAAATTGCCTGGTTTTTCTGGGCCTCAGTCACCTTGTCTCAAAGATGGGTCTGTAACACTGTCTGCAAGGACATGAGGTTAGGATGTAAGATGCTCTCCGGGACAAGATTAGTACACTGTAAAGTGCTGTAGCTTTCAGGGGTGGATGTATCACCCATTCTTTATGTCCATACAAAACACTTGCTAAGTACCTGTTTGTGTGCCAGGCAAAACTTGAACCACTGAGAAAACAATAAACAGATGGCTGCCTTGCTGTCGTGGGCCCCCTGCTGTAGGGAGGAAGGGGAGCAAGTGTGAAGACAAGGCAGTGGAGTAGAGCTGGAGGCAATTCTGCCAAGCAATGAGAAGGGTCCAGGAAGAAACAGAGACTTTGGGGCATGCTGGAGAGCCTGGGCATTGGCTGGGCAGGCTGAGTGAGGGGGATGGGAGGAACACCTCCGGCAGTCCCTCTGAGAAGCCAAGGAGCCCCAGGAAGATGCTGAGCAGACAGGTCCCATGCCAGCATCTGCTTGCAAGGCTGGAACATGGGACAACAGGTCCCCACAGTGCTGGCTTCTCCTCCCCTGCAGGTGTGATGAGCAGACAACTGAGAAGCTCAAGACTCCCTTTGGCCGCTGTGATGGTGCTGACCACGTCTGTAACCTAGAGCTGGAGACCCATGTCACCAGGCTCGGGGAACAACTGCAGACCCTCGGCTGCAATGGAAAGACCCTGGGGACACCGGAGGAGGTCAGCATGACCCTAAGGTCCCAGGTCTTACAGCTGGAGGGACTTGCAGCCATAGCCCACTCACAGAGCTGTGAACAGGACACAGGAGATGCGGTCTCCTCTCGTTTCGCTTTGTGGGAACTTTTGATGGCCAGTTAGAGAATGCCGTCCCAGATTAGCTTGATTACGAAGCAGACGCTTACAAGAACTGAGGGGGACAGCTACGTGGCCTGCAGGCACCACTGTTCAGAGGCATAAACATGGTTGTCTTCTGTCTGTCTCCCTGAAACCTCAGCCTTGAGTCACAGACTGAGAAACCTAGGGATCACCAAGGATGGCACTTTAACAATTTAGTTTAAAGATGTTGATTGGCTCTATTTGTGATTCTGGAACCAGGCAAAATGTCAGCCCACCAAGCAGCGAGTGTCTAATGTACACAGGACTAAGCATGTTCCTGTGAGGAAGGAGACGGGGAGGTGACTGGTAATGCCAGGTTCCTACAGGTCCTGTGTTTTGGTAAGGATTAAGCTAGACACACTATCATTCCAGGCCCACTGGGGAAGTCTCCCCTGACTTCTCCAGGGACACATGATAGCCAGGTCTCCATGTCAGTGTCCAACTCTGCCCTAAGGATCTCCACCCTGCACTCTGGGCCCCAGGTAGAAGCTGAGCCCTGAGCATTAGAAAGTCAGGAGTCAGAGCAAGGCCCCGCACTGTATGTTAGAGCAGGCTGCCTGGTTTCAGTGCCAGCTCTAGTACCCGTGTGACCTTCTGTGCCTTGATTTCCACATTTGCGACGGTGCCGCTATGCATGCGTCAAGTGAGTAGATGCGGGTAGTGAGCTGCTGACAGCTCAGCCCTGACTGTCCCTGTCTGGTGAAGACCCCCACCCCAGGATTCCAGGTTGATCTGCTATGTTTCCGGGTGTGTCTCTGTCTGTTCTCACTGTGCTGCAGCTCCCTGAGACACTGGTCCTAATACCCAGGATCTCCCGGGAGAGAGCTGCTGGGCTTCGGAAGGCCCACCGTGAGATAGGAACTGGCAGTCAGGGAGCGCCCAAGGAGAAACACAGCTGTCGCTTTTCTAAGTAAACTTCAAGGTGACAGAGCAGGAAGGCTCCAGAAGGGGTGTCCTCTAGTCCTGCCTGCAGTGGGCAGAAGCACAGGGTCCTTTGTTCTCCTGCCCAAGGTCAGAGGGAATCCCGAGCACTCCCCCCCAGACCAAGAAAAGCCTGTCACGTGACACGCCTGATTTAGAGGGTGAGCATTGGACATTCTCTCTGTTGTCAAATCTGGGATCCTGGTAGCACTCCTGGTCACATTGCTGTGGAAAAGTGGGCAGATGTCTGAAATGTCCTCTCAGTCAGAGTCCCAGGACGAGATGAGATGGAATGATCCCTAGCCCTGTAGTGCATTCTCTCTGTAAGTCAGTCAAGCGCTCTGCTCCTGGTTGCCAGCAACGCAGATCTATCAAAAGAAAAGAAAAGGAAGAGAATGGAGTTGTTAGACTAGGAACTGTGTGTGTCTGCTCTCCATCCTGCTCACCCTACAGTTTGGGGCAGGCACTTAGCTCCTCTGGCCTCAGGGTGGTTTATCTGCATGGCTACCTTACATGCAGAAGGCTAGACTAGGCGATCTCTGCAAAAGTGTCAGGGAGGCAAAGCAAGCTGTGAGCACCCATCCCGGGGATGCAGGTGCAGGGAACACACCAGACCCTTTATCCCAGGCAGAGCCACAGACCATGGTGACGACCGAGCATCTGAGGCTGGAGCTGCAGATGGTGGAGACAGAGCGGGTACGACTGTCGCTGCTGGAGGAGAAGCTGGTGGACGTGCTACAGCTCCTGCAGAGGCTCCGGGACCTGGTGGGGCTCTGGGGGTCCTGAAGGGAAGTGGGGTCTAGAGGTGATCTGGGAGACCCAGAAGAAGGTGATGGTGAGAAGGGCCAAGGAGAGTCCATAGGGGACCCGAGGGTGACACTGGAAAGCCAAGGGAGGCTGGAGGGTGAGGGAGCCTGTATGGCACCCCTAGGGCTCTGGCTTCCATGGTCAGCCGGGGCTCCTCCACTGACACATACAGAATGGTGGCTCAGAGAAGCCACCTAGAGAAGAAAATGTTCCAGATCATTTTAGGAGTCTGATGTAACTGAAATTAAAGCCCAGAGCTAGCTAGCGAGAGGACTGGGTAAGCTGTGTGCCACCTACGCTTGGCAACCTGAGTTCCATCTCTAGAACCGTTGAAGAGGTAGGAGAAGAAAGCCGAGCACATAATGTTGCCCTCTGACCTCCACACATGTGTCATGGCATATATGCCCACACATATGCATACACGTGCAATAATAATAAATACAAGTTAAAGACCAAAGGAGGATAACCAAGAAAGAATTTAAACTAACATCTCTTTTAAGCATGGCTACAGGGCTGGGGAGATGACTCTGGGGTCAAGAGCACACACTGTGGGTTCCAGGACAGCCAGGGCTATTTAGAGAAACTTTGTCTCCAACAAGCAAACACAACAAAAGAGTATCCACTGCTGTCATGGAGCACCAGGGTTCAATTCCCAGCACCCACATGGCAGCTCACAGCCAACTGTAACTCCAGTCCCAAGGGATTCAACATCTTCTTTAACCTCTGCAGGTTGCCCAGCATACACATGATCACAGACATACACACAAGCAAAGCACTATACGCATAAAATTAAACAAAATAGTTTAAAAAGTAAACATGGCTACAAATTATTAAAGAATAGCAGACTTGACACAGTGGTGCCTATAATCTCAGCACTGGAGAAACTGAGGCAGGAGGATTGCCACAAGTTTGAGTCCAGCCTGGCACATTCTACCCCCAAAAAAAAATTTTGGTTGCTTTTGCTTGTTTGTTATTTGTTGTTATTGTTTGGGGGACAGAATTTCTCTGTGTAACAGCCCTGGCTGTCCTGTAACTAGCCTTGTAGACCAGGCTGGCCTCAAACTCACAGAGATCTCCCTGCCTCTGCCTCCCAAGTACTAGGATTAAAGGCGTGTGCCACAACCACCAGGCTCAAAAAAAATTATTTAAAACTAGCCAGGCATGATGGCATACATTTTTTGTTTTGTTTTTGTTTTGCTTTTTTGAGACGGGGTTTCACTGTAACTTTGGAGCCTGTCCTGGAACTAACTCTTGTAGACCAGGCTGAACTCAAACTCACAGATATCCACCTGCCTCTGCCTCCTGAGTGCTGGGATTAAAAGGCTGGCATACACTTTTAATCCCAGCACTTGGGAGGCAGAGACAGGTGGACCTCTGAGATTTCATGTTTGCTGGGAACATGGGCTACCCAGGTCAGGCCGGGTATTGCATAGCTGGGCAGACAAAGAGCTGGGAATGAGCTGGAGACCAGCTGAGGCCCAGCCCAGCCCCAGAAGCAGTGAGGTGTGGCAGTGTTCTCTTTGTTTGGGTTTATTTGTTTTTGAGACAGGATCTCACTACATACCCCAGGCTAGCCTGGAAATCTTGGTCCTGTGTCCACCTCCTGAGTGCTAGAATTACAGGTGTGGCCTCTTTCTTTTTGATTCTTCCTTTCTACATTGCCTTCCCATTGCTTAGATGCTCATAATAAACAACGTGTTCTGGGGTTGAGATGATCAAATGCTTAAGAGAATTTAGCCACCATCTTCCACGGGGGCATCTGCCCTGGTCTTTGGTGAAATGGAGCCTGCACACTGCTCCACTCCAGCCTCAGGGGTGGGAGGCATCGGGGGAGAACAGGGGAGGAAGACAATATGAGGGGACAAGAAGGAAGGATGGGGACAGGAAGGGAGGATGGGGCAGAAGGGAGGATGGGGCAGGAAGGGGGATGGGAGCAGGAAGGGAGGATGGGGCAGGAAGGGAGGAGGGACAGAAAGGGAGGAGGGACAGAAAGGGAGGATGGGGGCAGGAAGGGAGGATGGGGCAGGAAGGGAGGATGGGGACAGAAAGGGAGGATGGGGCAGGAAGGGGGATGGGGGCAGGAAGGGAGGATGGGGACAGGAAGGGAGGATGGGGACAGGAGGGGATAAAGAGGAACATGAAGTGGGGATGTGGGACCAGCCCCAAGGAGCTTCATGGAAGCTTCCAGAAGTCTCTACACTCTACCTCCTAAGTGGGGCACAACCTGATCCAGCCTCTCTTTGTCTCTCTTGAAGAATATATCAAAAAGAGCCCTGGGGAAGATTTTGCTGAATGCCCTGGACCGGAGCCCCTCACAGGGTAGGCAAGGGTGGCAAGGGTGCCTGGCAGAGAATGGATGGCAGCTGTGGGGCATCTGGACCAAAACTCCAGCACTGTTCTGAATTCTGGTCTGCAGAACCGCCTCTGTCCCCACCCCACCAAAACAGACTCCAGACCAGAACCAAGCCGCAGAGACCACAGGCAGCTATAACCACCCAAAGCCAGCATGGGCCCAGCAGACAAGGGTGGGGTTGCCTGCTGGCAAGTCCGACTATACTGTTCCCTGAGCTAACTATGGGCCAGGACTGAGGCAGCGCCTCTGTACCTTAAAGCCCCCAGCTCTGACAGCTGACCTATCAGAGAGGAGTTACTCCACCAACCACATAGTCAAAAACTACCCTGTCAAGTGCCTGGGATTCGCCTAAAGCTCCAGGCCCTGTGGCCCCTGCTGCTCAGGCAAAGCAGAATTTCTGGCAGCAGAATTTCGCCAGTTGTGTCCCCTGCAGCTGACCCTACCTCATAAGGTCACAGGGAGATTCACAGGTGAGTCTATACTTGCTCGCAGGATCTTCAAACAGCCCACTATCAGTGGAGAGAAGGTGTATCAAGGATAGCAGTTCTCAGCCTTCCTAAAGCTGTACCCCTTTAATAGAGTTCCTCATGTGGGGACCCCCAACCATAAAGTTATTTCATGGCTACTTCATAACTCTAATTTTGCTTTTGTTATGAGTCATAATGTAAATGTCTGATATGCAGGATATCTGATACGTGACCCCAGGGGTCATGACCCACCCAGTGAGAACCACTGATCTAGGCATCAAGAAGGAATATAAGGGCTGGAAAGATGGCTCAGAGGTTAAGAGCATTGCCTGCTCTTCCAAAGGTCCTGAGTTCAATTCCCAGCAACCACATGGTGGCTCACAACCATCTGTAATGAGGTCTGGTACCCTCTTCTGGCCTGCAGGCATACAGACAGAATATTGTATACATAATAAATAAATAAATAAATAAATACTTAAAAAAAAAAAAAGAAGGAACATAAGGAGCAGGTCTGGGCAGGGTGGGCAGTGGTAACTGGGCAAGTGGTAGGAAAGCCGCATGGAAGAGAGATGTGACTACGGACAAGATAAGGAAATCTACCCTTTTGTTTCTCTCCAGAGGGTACACGTGGCACCTTGGCCATCCTGAACACCTTGCACCAAGCCTTGGTTGGCTGTGAACTCCTGCAGAGAAACCCCTCAGCGCCAGGATCCACAGCTCCTGCGCACACGAACCCCTTCCTCATCTCCTGCTGAGCTTACTGGCCCTGCCTTGGGCCACCATGTTCATCCTAACCATCATCAGACCAGCCTTGACTTGACAACCAGACTTGCCTCCCTGGTCGACCTGACAACCATGGGACTAGCTTTGGTGGTCACAGGACCAACCTTCACAGTCAGACTGACTGTCATCACTGTGGCTTCCTCTGTCGTCCTGAGCGCCATCAGTGCAGCCTCCATGGCCCACCTGACCACTGTTGGACTGACTTCTACCGTCTGAAATGGTCTGACTGTTGTCACTTCTGCAGAACTCTGGCAGCCAAGGCTCCTTCCAAAACTGGGTCTGGCAGCTGCTCCTTCCTGGGGCCTCTCACATTCTCACAGAACCCCCACACTGAAACCCTGCAGTTGCTAGATCAGCCTATACCTGAAGCTGTTGATCTTATGCCGGGCACAGTACACAGTACATCGAAAATCTCTGCCCTGCTTGCTCCAGCTGATTCCCTGTTATCTGACCTGCTCAAGAAGGGCCAGTTCTGACCCTGATCAGGCTACATGTGTGTTAGAACCTTGTGTGGTCAGATGTGCAAGGAGGAACTCCAGGCAAAGGGAACAATCCATACTTTGGCAAGTCTAACTTTGTGAGCTCTGCTATGACCTCCCAGGAAAGACAGAAGAAAATCACGGAACGCTTCTGGGGAACAAGGCTCATGACCTCGTGGAATACAACTAGCGCACCCTGGGTTTTATTTTGCTGTCTTCTTGGTGCCAGGGCTGCCCCAGCACTGCAAGAGCTCCCCCACCAAGCACACCCTTCACCTCTTTCTGTTCTTTTCCTGCCCTTTCGCTGGAGCATGGCAGGCACAGGTTTCATCAGAACCTTGACAAACTGAGAGAAAGAACATTCCTGCAGCCAGATCCCCCAGCTGGCCTGTCCCAGCCAAGTGAGGGGGAACCAGAGCCGAGTTCAGGCCCACTGAGACAGCCGTGATCACAGGTGTTGTGTTTAGTTCTGTTGTTTTACACAGGCTCAAGGAGAGAAGGAACCAGGAAGGCTTTGCCATCGCGGAGCCTGGGAAGCTTTGCTGCCCAGGAAGCAGCACAGTTATTGAAAGTGGACTTTGATTAGTTGTAGATGGGTGTTGTGGATGTTGAGACAAATACTAGGAAAAGAAGGAGGGGGCCGGGATATACTAGGAAAAGAGAAAGTGATATTATATAAACTACTTCTTCAAAACCACAAACGGCAGACTAGGAGCTGAAGACAGAACAAAAGTTATTAAACATGAGCAGTTATGTAAGGCATCAACCCCCCGCCCCCCGTCAGCAGCATCACCCCCCCCCAAATAGTAGTGGTCTCATTACAATAACCAAAATATCTGGATTCTCAGACCAAACGACAAGATGTCTACAAGGAGGCTGGAGGGATGGCTCAATAGATAAGATCACTTATTGCTCTTGCAGAGGACCTGGGTTCAATTCCCAGCACCTACAGAACCACTCCCAACTTCCTATAACTCCTATTCCAAGTAATCTAAATTGCCCTCTTTTGACTCTGTGGGCACACAAGTGGTACACAAACATACACTCGGGCACAAACATAAAAAATAAATAAACTTTTTTAAAAATTCACTTTAGATATAGACACATGGGTTAAAGTGAAGGGGTAAAGGAAAATACTACTGTACCAACAGTAATTCAATGAAAGCCTTCAAGGCAAGGAAAAGTATCGGGGGAGAAAAAGGTATCACATAATGTCAGAGGGGTCAGCTCACCAAGAAAATAATGTGTGTACTTAACAACAGCCACAAACTACCTGAGACAAAAATACAAATGCATAGTGATGCACGCCTTTAATCATAGCACTCAGGAGACAGATGCAGACAGGTCTCTGAGTTCGAGGCCAGCCTGGTCTACATAGATCTTGTCTCAAAAATACATATTAATAGAGCTTCAAGAAACAGATGAGTCCACTATTGTAGTTGCAGACTTCAACATACTTCTATAAGAAATGAACATATCCAGCATGTATGGCATTAGTAACGCTGAACACACCAGAGCCAACAACCAGATGGGTTCAACGACACAGACTACTCATCCCACACTGGCACAAATGCAACCTCTTCAAACTCGGACAGCAGTCTTCACATTCCGGCTACAAATGTCCTCCGCCAATCAAACTGTGGAAACCATGCAGATCTCTCAAGAGACAGACAGCAAAATTAAACTCGTAACATAACATTTAAGCATTCCATAAATGCTTAAAGATTGAATAGCATATTTCTACATTAAATATATATCAAAGAAAATTTTCTAGAGTAATCTGAAAACACTTTTGGCTAAATGAAAATAGAAACATATCACATCAGAACATACAGGACACGAGAAGAGCAGAGCCCCGAGGGACTGCATGGCAGGGGAGTGAGTGTGTTTGCAAAGTCAGTGTTCCTCCACCTCAGGAAGCTGTCCGGTGAAAAACAGATTGTAAGACCAACTTGCCAAGTACATCCGAATTTGAGCTATAGAATCAACTCAAAGTATACAGATGAAAAGAATAAAAATTAAAACAGAAATCAGACTCAAAATAGGATATCAGAAAAGAAAATCAACAAAGTCAAAGCTGGTTCTCAGGAAAGATTACAGAAGTAGTTAATAAAAGCATCTTGCAGGGGCTGGAGAGATAGCTCAGTGGTTAGGAGCACTGGATGCTGTCTCGGAGGACCCAGATTTAATTCCCAGCACCCACATGGCAGTTCACAGTTGTCTGTAACTCCAGTTCCAGGGGATCTGGCACCAATGCACATAAAATTAGTTATTAAAAAGAGTTTAAAATATTTAGTTTTTTACAAATAAACTTCTCTCCCAGCTAATCAAAGAAAAAACAGAAGAAACACCTTACTAATACCAGCGGCGAAGGAGGGATGTCATTACAAGACAAATCTCAACAGAACTAAAGGAGTTGAAATATGACTGTAAATAAGTCTTGTGAGTCAATGAAAGGGATCCATTCCTTGAAAAACACATAAAAGCCACACATGAAGAAACAGACAATCTGATAGATATTAGATAATATAGTTAACAATTAACAAAACAAAAATAGCAGGCCCGGGACAAGCTCTCCGGCACATTCTACGCTGACCTGTAAGAAAAGGGCTGTACAAATCATCTAGTCTCTTCCAGAAAACAGAAGCAGGCCTTCTTTGCAGCCCCTTCTGAAAGGCCAGGATTGTCATTGTGCCAGCAAATATCTCAAACAAAAAAGAGCAAAATGCCTCCTAAGTACAGTTACAAAAAATATTCAGCAAAATATAAAACGTAAGCAAGTCACGGGCAACAGTGTGAGCTGGAGACGAGCATTTGCCCTTCACGTGGGACCTGGTTCAATCTCCAGCACAAAAAAGAAAAAAAAAAAAAAAAACAAGAATTGCTCACCTTACCCCAGTGGAACTGGCACACTGTTGTATGGGAAAGAGGCTCTAACCCATGGCCACTTCCATGTCCTACAGACAGCGGTGCTGATACTCTGCCCTTCTTGGGCCTTCGGAGCTTGCCCGATTGCAACCTGTCATCTTTTCGCTAACCCAGGGTGCAGAGTCCCTGAACATGGATGGGACCTGAGCACAGGCCTGATGCTCCTAGCCAAGGATAAAGTTTAGGGTGAGATGACCCCAGAATCTTCCCTGGATGCAGATTGGGGTCAGGGCCAGCGCATCAGCTGTGAGTGGCAGAAAACAGTGTGCTTCACCTCACATCCACACCCCAGTGACAAGGACCCTATCCACTTCCACGCAGCTCAACAGCAGAGCCCAGCATACCTGACCAAGGACGAGCTCCGCCCACTTGATCAGCCCAGGGACCTTTACAGAGCTCAAGGCCTGGGATGCTGTGACAGGAGAGGGGAAAGAAGGTGCTGCCCAGGGAGAGGGATGTTGTACAGCCACTGAGCCCTTGGCCGCCACGTCTCCAGAGAGCAGCTGTCATGGAAACCTCAGTGTCAACTTGCGTCAAAAGTAGGATATGTGAAGGAGTCCCCTCAAACAGAACCTCCCGACACTGAACCCAAAAATTGGTTTTAAAAAACAAAAAGGTTAGTTGGTGGATACTGAGTCCCAGAACCCTAGCCCAAAGTTCCCTTTACTTCCTGTGAGTCCTGGGGATCGCTGCGCACCAATTAACTCCTTGGTCTGCTGCTCAATAAAACTGCTGTCTTCTTTTTTATTGAAAAAAAATTAAATAGGCCCTTTAATTCTTAATCCATATGTATGTATGATAATGTAACTTATATCCAAAGATTAATTCATATTTTTTCAATTATTTTACAAACCATGTGTTGTTGAGAACATTCCAGGCCTGAGGCATGATAAATGAATAGGTAGGACTCTCTGTGTAGTCATCAGATGACAAGGTTTGGAAGCAGGGAAGTTCAGTAACTATACTCTATTTGCACATTTGTGTTTCTATACTGGTACGATAAATAATACCAGACAACGGCTGTAGAAAGTCTACAAAGACACAGAATCGATACCTATAACACTAAAATAATAACCTTTATAAATAATCTGATACAGATCAATTTCACATTCAATAACTTAGAAAAATAAAGCTAGTGTTTCCTATTTTTTCATACACAAAAGCAAAGTAATGGTTGGAACATATGCAATTTATACTAAATATATCTTAGAAAAGAAGATAAAAAAATTTATTAATCTTTTTCAATGCAATCTGTAAATACATTAACTTAAACTCATTGCATTATTTTATAGTACTGTTATAAATTAACTTTATCAGGTAGACGAAGTTCTGTTAAGTATTCTAAAATTCCTTTTCAATGTGAAAATCTAGGATTTCTTTGAAAACAGTTTTAGATTATGTATTCAGATCACACGTTCTCCCCTCCCAACTCCTCCCAGATCCTTCCTCCCCAGCCAACTCCACACCTTCTTTCTTTCTCTCTTTAAAAAAATAATCAAGTAAAACAAAGAAATAACAAAATCAAGAAACACAAACCATGAAAATATGCAAGCAAAAGAACACTATAACAAAAAAAAATGCCTAAACAAAGCAATCTGAGATTAAAAAGTCGGCAAAAATACCACTGAGTCTGTTTTGTTCTGGCCTTCTACTGCTGGGCATGGGGTTACCCTGATGTGTGCTTAATATCCCAGTGAGACTCCATTGGAGATAATTGAGTTTTCCTTTGCAATCAGGTATTAATTGAAGATAACTTCTCGGTTAGGTGTGGGAACTCATGTCCACGTCCCCCTCTCAGAGCTGGGACCCCATCTGAAAACTGTTGTCTTCTTGTGGAGACCTTATAATTATTTGATCTTAGCGCTAGGTGCCTGATTAGCATAAGTGAAGTCCTAGGTCCTGTCCCAGCGCCGAGAGAAGAAAGGACTCTCTTCTTGACACATCACAGAGTCTTTGGCATGCTTGCTCTGGGATGAAACTCTTCACTCCTTCTGTTGAAGGTGAGCAAGTGTGATGGTTTGAAAGGAAATGGCTCTCATAGGGTGTGGCACTATTGGGAGGTGTGACTTTGTTGGAGTAGGTGTGACTTTGTTGGAGAAAGTGATCATCATGGAGGTGGGCTTTGAGGTCTCATGTGTGCAAGCCATGCCCAGTATGACATGCAGTTGCTTCCTCTGCCTGCGGATCCAGATGTGGAACTCTCAGCTCCTTCCCCAGCACCATGTCTGCCTGCACACTGCCATGTCCCACCATGATGATGATGGACTAAACGTCTGAACTGTAAGTCAGCCCCAATTAAATGCTTTTCTTTATAAGAGTTGCCGTGGTCATGGTGTCTCTTCACTGCAATGGACACCCTAACTAAGACAGCAGGAGTCGCAGGTATAAGCCATACCAGACAAGCAGAATGTGGTGGGGACACAGACTCAGCCACAAAGCATGGTGGTACCTTCCTTGCTGGTACACGATTAGTGCTAACTGGTCTTAATAATAAAAACCCAGAGCCATATATCAGGGGAAATGCTGAAAGATCAGAGAGACAAAGGACCAAGCCACAGCCAACTCTTACCTCGCTAGCTCCTCAGCAAGAAAGAGAGAGAGAGAGAGAGAGAGAGAGAGAGAGAGAGAGAGAGAGAGAGATCCAAGCTCCTGTCTCTTCCCTCTCGGCCCAGCCATATCACTTCTTGTCTGTCTATGTCTGTCTGTCTGTACAGCCCTCCAGACCTCTATGGTTAACTAGTGGTCAGCTCAGCCCTCTGATCCTCGGGCAAGCTTTATTTGTGAGAGCCCAAACTAAACATCACCACACCTTGGTATCTCTTGGCCACTGTGTCCTGAGTCCATCCAGGCAGCCCTGCCCAGAGGGCCTTGCGCCCTCCCAGTCTGCCAATGCCCAGCAGGGAATGGAGAACTCTAGCCATTAGCTCAGGCATCTTTGAAGCAATTCCACCAGCCCCGATCAAATCTTTCAGTGGTGACAACCCCAGCCCTGCTGCGATCCTGACTGCAACATCTAGAACCTTCAAGCTAAAACAAGCATTTCTGACCTACAAAAACCAATAAAAACCAACAAACGTTGCTATGAAGCTGCTGCTGTGGGCAGTGTGTTAGAACTGTAGATAACAAACACATTTCCTGTGCTGAGTGCATGCTTCGTTAGCAGACATGGTGGGGAGGGAGGCCTGACAGTGAGCCCTAGGCCAGTTGAAAGTATGAAGCCAGCTGACAGGCACTCATAAGCCAAAAGATGATGGGAGAGGAGGGATGCTTGCTGCATGCCTGCTCGGCCTGATGCTTCTCGTTCACATCAGACACAATGCACCCTGGCCAAAGGCTGAGCAGGGATAGGGTTAGGATGCAAGGCACAGGCAACAGCGGTGGGGAAGGTAGTAGAAGAGGGGACCATGTACATGCTGAGGCTCCGGGCGCCCGCCCCATGCGTACACAGTGCCCTACCACTTAGAAAACATAACTCCAAGATGAATTTGTTTCAAATTTAAAAAAAAGATTACCTGGAACTTGAGACACCCAGTGTAGAGCCCTTGAATGGAAAGGCAAGAGCAACATACTGGCTAGCTGGGTGAGGAGCAGGGCTGGGAGCATGGTGATTCCACACCAGTTTGGGAAAACTTGATACACAAGTGTCTGAGAACAGATGTCCTGTCTTCCCCCTTCTTTTCCTTTTCTAGAAGTCCTTCTCTGGAATTTTGGAATGTACTAAGTGTCTGTAACTCGTTACAAATGTTTTCTTGGAAATTCTAACCCGTGTTCTTCTCTCACCTTCTGGCAGAGATACTCCACTGACCTTAAATTGCTTCCCTCCCGATACTCCCAGCTAAGAGAAAGTAATTCTACACTGTCACCACTAGGTGGGGACACACTCGCTGGATGGAAGCACAGAGGACAATCTTTCCAGCTGGGAGCAGCCTGAGCTGGGAGTTCAAGTGCAACCAGGGAGGCCCTAGGACACGTGCCATTCCTTTTTTAATTTCCTTAGAATCTGCTTGATTTTTAAACTTATACAGTATAAGATTGTAAATGTATATATTTTACTGTTTTGTTTCTTTGAGATGGGTCTTGCTTTGTAATCCAGGTGCTCTCCGACTCCCAGTCCTCCTGTCTCCGTTTTCTGAGTCCTATGATTATAGATATATCTAGTAAAATAGTTTTCTATGAATTGAACACATTCCATGCAGAGAAAGACAGGCTTGTGAGATGCACGCATGCAAATATCACATCCCGAGAAAGCAGAAATGTGCAACTCTAAGAGGCTAGTAGTGTGTTTGTGATCAAGTCTCACTGTGTAGGCCAGGCTGGCCTCGAACTCACAGAGGTCCACCTGTCTCTGCTTGCCAACTGCTGAGATCACTCAACCCCACTCCCCACCCCCGCTTTCTAGAAGCAGCAAACTGTTAGGGAAGGACACTGACCAGCCCAGAGGAGATTCCTAGGGCTTGGCTTGGCTTATCCCCGCAGAGCAGCCCTCGTGGTGGGGGGTGGGGTCACTCCAGGGCTGAGCCTCCGTGAGTCCTCTCCAGATAAGGCTGCTTTTGGTTCCTCCCTGGTTGTGCTGGACACTTTAATGTCAACTTGACCCAAGCTGCAGTCATCTGAAAGGAACAAACTTCAACTGAGAAAACATCTCTGAAGGTTCTGGCTTTAGTGGTTGATGGGGGACGGCCCAGCCCATTGTAGGTGGAACCACCTGTGGGCTGGTAATCCTGGGTTCTTTAAGAAAACAGACTGAGCAAGCCATACCGAGCAAGCCAGTAAG